CCTCACATTGCAGATATAACGCTTCATAAGAGGAGTGCCTATACATAGAACGTGCACTGATATCAGGAGTGCCTATACATAGAACGTGCACTGATATCAGGAGTGCCTAGACATAGAACGTGCACTGATATCAGGAGTGCCTAGACATAGAAGGAGCACTGATATCTGGAGTGCCTAGACATAGAAGGAGCACTGATATCAGGAGTGCCTAGACATAGAAGGAGCACTGATATCAGGAGTGCCTAGACATAGAAGGTGCACTGATATCAGGAGTGCCTAGACATAGGAGCACTGATATCAGGAGTGCCTAGACATAGGAAGTGTACTGATATCAGGAGTGCCTAGACATAGAACGTACACTGATATCAGGAGTGCCTAGACATAGAAGGAGCACTGATATCAGGAGTGACTAGACATAGAAGGTGCACTGATATCAGGAGTGCCTAGACATAGAAGGAGCACTGATATCAGGAGTGCCTAGACATAGAAGGAGCACTGATATCAGGAGTGCCTAGACATAGAAGGAGCACTGATATCAGGAGTGCCTAGACATAGAAGGTGCACTGATATCAGGAGTGCCTAGACATAGGAGCACTGATATCAGGAGTGCCTAGACATAGGAAGTGTACTGATATCAGGAGTGCCTAGACATAGAACGTACACTGATATCAGGAGTGCCTAGACATACAAGGTACACTGATACCAGGAGGGCCTAGACATAGAAGGTACACTGATACCAGGAGGGCCTAGACATAGAAGGTACACTGATACCAGGAGGGCCTAGACATAGAAGGTACACTGATACCAGGAGGGCCTAGACATAGAAGGTACACTGATACCAGGAGGGCCTAGACATAGAAGGTACACTGATACCAGGAGGGCCTAGACATAGAAGGTACACTGATACCAGGAGGGCCTAGACATAGAAGGTACACTGATACCAGGAGGGCCTAGACATAGAAGGTACACTGATACCAGGAGGGCCTAGACATAGAAGGTACACTGATACCAGGAGGGCCTAGACATAGAAGGTACACTGATACCAGGAGGGCCTAGACATAGAAGGTACACTGATACCAGGAGGGCCTAGACATAGAAGGTACACTGATACCAGGAGGGCCTAGACATAGAAGGTACACTGATACCAGGAGGGCCTAGACATAGAAGGTACACTGATACCAGGAGGGCCTAGACATAGAAGGTACACTGATACCAGGAGGGCCTAGACATAGAAGGTACACTGATACCAGGAGGGCCTAGACATAGAAGGTACACTGATACCAGGAGGGCCTAGACATAGAAGGTACACTGATACCAGGAGGGCCTAGACATAGAAGGTACACTGATACCAGGAGGGCCTAGACATAGAAGGTACACTGATACCAGGAGGGCCTAGACATAGAAGGTACACTGATACCAGGAGGGCCTAGACATAGAAGGTACACTGATACCAGGAGGGCCTAGACATAGAAGGTACACTGATACCAGGAGGGCCTAGACATAGAAGGTACACTGATACCAGGAGGGCCTAGACATAGAAGGTACACTGATACCAGGAGGGCCTAGACATAGAAGGTACACTGATACCAGGAGGGCCTAGACATAGAAGGTACACTGATACCAGGAGGGCCTAGACATAGAAGGTACACTGATACCAGGAGGGCCTAGACATAGAAGGTACACTGATACCAGGAGGGCCTAGACATAGAAGGTACACTGATACCAGGAGGGCCTAGACATAGAAGGTACACTGATACCAGGAGGGCCTAGACATAGAAGGTACACTGATACCAGGAGGGCCTAGACATAGAAGGTACACTGATACCAGGAGGGCCTAGACATAGAAGGTACACTGATACCAGGAGGGCCTAGACATAGAAGGTACACTGATACCAGGAGGGCCTAGACATAGAAGGTACACTGATACCAGGAGGGCCTAGACATAGAAGGTACACTGATACCAGGAGGGCCTAGACATAGAAGGTACACTGATACCAGGAGGGCCTAGACATAGAAGGTACACTGATACCAGGAGGGCCTAGACATAGAAGGTACACTGATACCAGGAGGGCCTAGACATAGAAGGTACACTGATACCAGGAGGGCCTAGACATAGAAGGTACACTGATACCAGGAGGGCCTAGACATAGAAGGTACACTGATACCAGGAGGGCCTAGACATAGAAGGTACACTGATACCAGGAGGGCCTAGACATAGAAGGTACACTGATACCAGGAGGGCCTAGACATAGAAGGTACACTGATACCAGGAGGGCCTAGACATAGAAGGTACACTGATACCAGGAGGGCCTAGACATAGAAGGTACACTGATACCAGGAGGGCCTAGACATAGAAGGTACACTGATACCAGGAGGGCCTAGACATAGAAGGTACACTGATACCAGGAGGGCCTAGACATAGAAGGTACACTGATACCAGGAGGGCCTAGACATAGAAGGTACACTGATACCAGGAGGGCCTAGACATAGAAGGTACACTGATACCAGGAGGGCCTAGACATAGAAGGTACACTGATACCAGGAGGGCCTAGACATAGAAGGTACACTGATACCAGGAGGGCCTAGACATAGAAGGTACACTGATACCAGGAGGGCCTAGACATAGAAGGTACACTGATACCAGGAGGGCCTAGACATAGAAGGTACACTGATACCAGGAGGGCCTAGACATAGAAGGTACACTGATACCAGGAGGGCCTAGACATAGAAGGTACACTGATACCAGGAGGGCCTAGACATAGAAGGTACACTGATACCAGGAGGGCCTAGACATAGAAGGTACACTGATACCAGGAGGGCCTAGACATAGAAGGTACACTGATACCAGGAGGGCCTAGACATAGAAGGTACACTGATACCAGGAGGGCCTAGACATAGAAGGTACACTGATACCAGGAGGGCCTAGACATAGAAGGTACACTGATACCAGGAGGGCCTAGACATAGAAGGTACACTGATACCAGGAGGGCCTAGACATAGAAGGTACACTGATACCAGGAGGGCCTAGACATAGAAGGTACACTGATACCAGGAGGGCCTAGACATAGAAGGTACACTGATACCAGGAGGGCCTAGACATAGAAGGTACACTGATACCAGGAGGGCCTAGACATAGAAGGTACACTGATACCAGGAGGGCCTAGACATAGAAGGTACACTGATACCAGGAGGGCCTAGACATAGAAGGTACACTGATACCAGGAGGGCCTAGACATAGAAGGTACACTGATACCAGGAGGGCCTAGACATAGAAGGTACACTGATACCAGGAGGGCCTAGACATAGAAGGTACACTGATACCAGGAGGGCCTAGACATAGAAGGTACACTGATACCAGGAGGGCCTAGACATAGAAGGTACACTGATACCAGGAGTGCCTAGACACAGGAAGTACCATCAGCAGTAGTACAACAACAACAACAACAACAATGTAACTATGTATCATCCTCGCAGGGTGTCTGGTCTTCTCATTGTACAAGTGACTGAGGAATCTCCCTGTGCGGAAGGATCATCTGTACTATATAGAGATGGGTAGCTCATGAGCGATCCGGATCTATTGAGCGGTTCCCTCAGAAGAACGAACGAGCGGTGGCTCAGTAACAATGAGCGTCGGTTCTTCTGGTCTGTTGTGCTCTGTGCGGATGGAATGTAGTAGAAGCAGAGAAGAGCGTGACGGCTCTCGGCGGCTCTTGTAAGCGGCAGCTATATAGTAATATGATCTTAGAGAGCCAGGCTTCTGCCAGCCCCGCCCAGCAACCAATCACTTCTGCCCAGCCCACCCCTGCAACCAATCACTTCTGCCCAGCCCACCCCTGCAACCAATCACTTCTGTGACCTTACAGAGACGGATCTGGAAGGGTCAGAAAGACTGTAAAGGGAACAGACTGAGCCACTTTAAAAGAGTGTGAAAATGTGAAACTTATTTTGGTAGTGTAGGCTATGTAGCTTACCTAAGGGGTTAAACATGTGTATTTTTTCTTGTAAATCACATTTTCAGTGATTATTATTTAAAAATAAAAATAAGTTTGTTTTAATCTGGAAGCAATGGTTTTACTTTTATGTTCTGTTTTTAGTAGGGCTGGTAATGATTACAATTTTCGTGTTCGATTAATCGAAATTTTTTTTAATCGATTAATTTTGATTACTTATAACGCACATACAGATCCAACTACATTGGCCTATACACATACAGCACAGCAATGACCTATACACATACAGCACAGTAATGACCTATACACATACAGCACAGCAATGAAGTAATAGAATGAACTAGGATCACACTCATCCAGCACGTTATTCATCTCACGTGCCCCACTCAATATGGCCGCCGCTTGAGTGAGGCAACTCAGAATAATAACGTGCTGGATGAGTGTGATCCTAGTTCATTGTATGACTTCATTGCTGTGCTGTATGTGTATAAGCCAATGCCGCGGCTGGCGCTCGTGCAGAAAGTTTAAAAAAAAAATTTAATCGATTAAAAAAAATTAACGATTAATCGAGAAATTAATCGTTAATTTGCACAGCCCTAGTTTTTAGTAATAAGATTTTTATTGATGGTAAAAGAGCAGTTTAAACAACAAGAAGTCATACAACATAATTCCAGATAGTCAAGAGATCGGATGACAACGTTTAAACATAAGAGCCGGTTTTACTTTTAAAATAACTCCCGTTCCCTCCCTCAAAATACACCCCCGTCTCATTTCCTCTCCTACTATAGTAAAAAGAGCGGTTTAGTGAACCATGAGCCGTTTAAAAGATCCGGATCTTTTCAGTGAGCGATCAGTTGAGGAGCGCTCATGCAGATGAACCGTTTTGCCCGTCTCTAGTACTATACGTCTCATAGTTTGTATCTCGCTATGTAATAAGACTCCTCGAGGAATCACTTCCTGTCATATGAGACGCAGTACAAACACTTCCGGGTCACGCTTTTCCACCAGACGCATCATAAATGATCATTATTGTATTACGCCGGGACTCACCACCGTCTGATGGTTGACCTGAATGACTTCATCACCGGCATGGATCTTCTTGCATTGGTCGGCAGGTGACTACGGAAACATGGAACGAGAAAATTAATTGGTTAGATCAAATCATCCGTCCCCCGAGACTTCTATACTGATACCTTGTATAGGTGGATGGATGGAGAGATAGAAAGATAGATAGATAGATAGATAGATAGATAGATAGATAGATAGATAGATAGATAGATAGATAGAATGAATGAATATACAGTACAAAGGATATACAGAGGGTGTAGGGAGGATTTAGAGCGGATGTAGGGAGGATGTAGAGAGGATGTAGGGAGGATGTAGAGAGGATGTAGGGAGGATGTAGGGAGGATGTAGAGAGGATGTAGGGAGGATGTAGGGAGCATGTAGAGAGGATGTAGAGAGGATGTAGGGAGGATGTATAGAGGATGTACTGAGGATGTAGGGAGGATGTAGGGAGGATGTAGAGAGGATGTAGGGAGGATGTAGGGAGGATGTAGGGAGGATGTAGAGAGGCTGTAGGGAGGATGTAGGGAGGATGTAGAGAGGATGTAGAGATGATACGTAGAGAGGATGTAGGGAGGATGTAGGGAGGATGTAGAGAGGATGTAGAGAGGATCTAGGGAGGATGTAGAGAGGATGTAGAGAGGATGTAGGGAGGATGTACTGAGGATGTAGGGAGGATGTAGGGAGGATGTAGGGAGGATGTAGAGAGGCTGTAGGGAGGATGTAGGGAGGATGTAGAGAGGATGTAGAGATGATACGTAGAGAGGATGTAGGGAGGATGTAGGGAGGATGTAGAGAGGCTGTAGGGAGGATGTAGGGAGGATATGTAGGGAGGATGTAGGGAGGATATGTAGGGAGGATGTAGGGAGGATATGTAGGGAGGATGTAGGGAGGATATGTAGGGAGGATGTAGGGAGGATATGTAGGGAGGATGTAGGGAGGATATGTAGGGAGGATGTAGGGAGGATATGTAGGGAGGATGTAGGGAGGATATGTAGGGAGGATGTAGGGAGGATATGTAGGGAGGATGTAGGGAGGATATGTAGGGAGGATGTAGGGAGGATATGTAGGGAGGATGTAGGGAGGATATGTAGGGAGGATGTAGGGAGGATATGTAGGGAGGATGTAGGGAGGATATGTAGGGAGGATGTAGGGAGGATATGTAGGGAGGATGTAGGGAGGATATGTAGGGAGGATGTAGGGAGGATATGTAGGGAGGATGTAGGGAGGATATGTAGGGAGGATGTAGGGAGGATATGTAGGGAGGATGTAGGGAGGATATGTAGGGAGGATGTAGGGAGGATATGTAGGGAGGATGTAGGGAGGATATGTAGGGAGGATGTAGGGAGGATATGTAGGGAGGATGTAGGGAGGATATGTAGGGAGGATGTAGGGAGGATATGTAGGGAGGATGTAGGGAGGATATGTAGGGAGGATGTAGGGAGGATATGTAGGGAGGATGTAGGGAGGATATGTAGGGAGGATGTAGGGAGGATATGTAGGGAGGATGTAGGGAGGATATGTAGGGAGGATGTAGGGAGGATATGTAGGGAGGATGTAGGGAGGATATGTAGGGAGGATGTAGGGAGGATATGTAGGGAGGATGTAGGGAGGATATGTAGGGAGGATGTAGGGAGGATATGTAGGGAGGATGTAGGGAGGATATGTAGGGAGGATGTAGGGAGGATATGTAGGGAGGATGTAGGGAGGATATGTAGGGAGGATGTAGGGAGGATATGTAGGGAGGATGTAGGGAGGATATGTAGGGAGGATGTAGGGAGGATATGTAGGGAGGATGTAGGGAGGATATGTAGGGAGGATGTAGGGAGGATATGTAGGGAGGATGTAGGGAGGATATGTAGGGAGGATGTAGGGAGGATATGTAGGGAGGATGTAGGGAGGATATGTAGGGAGGATGTAGGGAGGATATGTAGGGAGGATGTAGGGAGGATATGTAGGGAGGATGTAGGGAGGATATGTAGGGAGGATGTAGGGAGGATATGTAGGGAGGATGTAGGGAGGATATGTAGGGAGGATGTAGGGAGGATATGTAGGGAGGATGTAGGGAGGATATGTAGGGAGGATGTAGGGAGGATATGTAGGGAGGATGTAGGGAGGATATGTAGGGAGGATGTAGGGAGGATATGTAGGGAGGATGTAGGGAGGATATGTAGGGAGGATGTAGGGAGGATATGTAGGGAGGATGTAGGGAGGATATGTAGGGAGGATGTAGGGAGGATATGTAGGGAGGATGTAGGGAGGATATGTAGGGAGGATGTAGGGAGGATATGTAGGGAGGATGTAGGGAGGATATGTAGGGAGGATGTAGGGAGGATATGTAGGGAGGATGTAGGGAGGATATGTAGGGAGGATGTAGGGAGGATATGTAGGGAGGATGTAGGGAGGATATGTAGGGAGGATGTAGGGAGGATATGTAGGGAGGATGTAGGGAGGATATGTAGGGAGGATGTAGGGAGGATATGTAGGGAGGATGTAGGGAGGATATGTAGGGAGGATGTAGGGAGGATATGTAGGGAGGATGTAGGGAGGATATGTAGGGAGGATGTAGGGAGGATATGTAGGGAGGATGTAGGGAGGATATGTAGGGAGGATGTAGGGAGGATATGTAGGGAGGATGTAGGGAGGATATGTAGGGAGGATGTAGGGAGGATATGTAGGGAGGATGTAGGGAGGATATGTAGGGAGGATGTAGGGAGGATATGTAGGGAGGATGTAGGGAGGATATGTAGGGAGGATGTAGGGAGGATATGTAGGGAGGATGTAGGGAGGATATGTAGGGAGGATGTAGGGAGGATATGTAGGGAGGATGTAGGGAGGATATGTAGGGAGGATGTAGGGAGGATATGTAGGGAGGATGTAGGGAGGATATGTAGGGAGGATGTAGGGAGGATATGTAGGGAGGATGTAGGGAGGATATGTAGGGAGGATGTAGGGAGGATATGTAGGGAGGATGTAGGGAGGATATGTAGGGAGGATGTAGGGAGGATATGTAGGGAGGATGTAGGGAGGATATGTAGGGAGGATGTAGGGAGGATATGTAGGGAGGATGTAGGGAGGATATGTAGGGAGGATGTAGGGAGGATATGTAGGGAGGATGTAGGGAGGATATGTAGGGAGGATGTAGGGAGGATATGTAGGGAGGATGTAGGGAGGATATGTAGGGAGGATGTAGGGAGGATATGTAGGGAGGATGTAGGGAGGATATGTAGGGAGGATGTAGGGAGGATATGTAGGGAGGATGTAGGGAGGATATGTAGGGAGGATGTAGGGAGGATATGTAGGGAGGATGTAGGGAGGATATGTAGGGAGGATGTAGGGAGGATATGTAGGGAGGATGTAGGGAGGATATGTAGGGAGGATGTAGGGAGGATATGTAGGGAGGATGTAGGGAGGATATGTAGGGAGGATGTAGGGAGGATGTCGAGAGGATGTAGAGAGGATGTAGGGAGGATGTAGGGAGGATATGTGTGTGTTGGAGAAAACATCTCAGGGAATTGAAGGCAGAATTTCCCATGTAAAAAGTGGCGCTTATCTTTAATATTATACAGAGGATGAACAAGAAGATATGGAGGACAGGATAGGATAAGCCCGCCTGATGCCGCCCGCAGAGATTTTCGGGGGGTGATCTGATTGGAACATTTACATTTCTGGCAATAGCGGAGTGCAGCAGACGTGCGCGCGGTGCGGATTTGCCCGGTAAGCTGCGGGATTATTAAGACGTTCCTGTCAGAGAAGTTGAAGATGCGCTAATTACCGAGCTGTGGGAGCGGATCCACATCTCTGCATCCCGCAAAGCGCGAAGATTAACAAAAGAAAATAGGAGAATTCGGAGTTCACCAAAAGTGCACGGACACAGGCAGCACTGCCAGGGGCCACTGGACTCGGGTCCCGGGATGGGGTGGGAGGGGCTACTGTGTATTACACATATAGATCATTCTATGGATGCTGAGTGGATGTAAACTCATTCTATACAAAACTCTCTCAGGAGGCTCCAGTACACCCAACTAGAAGCACGTGTTTACCTTTATATCTGACCTCCGTCCTCCCCTTCAGTCTTCTATCTGACCTCCGTCCTCCCCTTCAGTCTACTATCTGATCTCTGTCCTCCCCTTCAGCCTTATATCTGACCTGCGTTTTGCATGCAAATACAACCTGCCTAGGAAAGTTAACTCCTCCAGACTAACACCCAACCATTAAAGTGCTTTGGTATTTGCATAACTCCTCCCACCCGACTACCTGCAAACCTGACCCGCTCCCACCTGTACCTGTGAATTGATCCCACCCGACTACCTGCACCCCTGTACATCCTCCTGCTGCTGCAGGTTGTCAGTTGATGGTGGGAACACCCAATAACAAAGCATGTTGAGTGTAACACGGGGTCTTTGACTGCGGTCCATAGCAACCAGGTATAATCTTCTGTGATTTTGGCTGAATCAGATTTTTACCCCTCCCCCACCTTTCAGCTCCAAACAGTTTCAAAAGAATCTATTTGCATAAAACCTAAAAAGTGAAATATGAATCCCGGGTGCTTTTACTTACTGCGCCGTCTGCATCCTTATTTTTTAAACACAAATACCCCGAACACGATGTAGCGCGCGCGGCGTCTGAC